GGCACTCCCCCTGGGCCCCTACAGGTAGCCCGGACCTCCGACCCCCGTCTCCATGGTGGTCCTTCTTTGTCCTCTCTGCCTTCCTTTACAGACCTGTAGTTCGTGTGAGAGGCGATTTCAGCAAAACATACAACCATCCAGGAAGTTGTTTTTGCATTAAAAAAAATTGTAGCGCTGCACATGACGGTTATTTGTATTATTGATAAATGTGCAGATTATTTTCCTGGTATTTAGCTGGTTTTGTCTATGTGTGACAGCTGGAGTTCAGTTTTCTTTTAGTCGACTTATTGACTCATCACTAGGGTTTTAGCTCTGAGGAATTCCCTTTTCAATTTAGATTTCATGGTACAGTCTCTGTGATTGAAAATGCCACAAACATGCAGCCAGCGTGAGAAAACTTTACCTACTTATTGTGCAAGAAGCTGGGTTCAGGTGTGGATGCCAAATTGATAAAGATGTGTAGTTTTGGCTGTCTGTTATTCCAGAAACATTTACCGTTTTGGAGGGAAAGATTAGAGAATTAATATACGCTGTTTGCACAGAAAGACAAAGTTTGTGTGTGTTGCAACGATGAACATCATTTCGCAGCGCTCCACGCACTCGCAGACCTCATACAGACGTGAAGTTTCTGTCCATTGTAGTGCTGTAATGGCGTGGAACAGAGTGATGAGTAGACTGTTAGCTTCGCTGGTGGATCAGCTCTGCATGCTTCATTACCTGTGTGTGCATGTGTGTGTGTGTGTGTGTGTGTGTTTGTGCGGCACCTTGTTGTTTTTGGTTCAGTCGCATGCTTTCAGCCCCGGCAGCAGAGAGAGCGAACCTGTCCATGTCACTGGACGAAGGCTACTTAAGGTAACCGCTCGTTCGTGCTTCCTTTTCTCAAGCTAATATCAGTAATTAACTTCACGGACGAATGGATATTTTGAGGTGTTTGTGCTCCGAACCCACTGATCCTTTATTTGATGGGTTGAATGCTTTTGCGCTGAGCATTATGGGTGGTTGGGCGGATTAGTGTTGGTTAGTCACCGCTGTTCGAATGAGAGTTAGTCATAAACTTTTGTTCATGTTTGTTTGGTGCAAATTGGTTCAGGGAACGAACAAAAACGGGAGAGAACCATTCTGACATGACTCATCATCCGCAAATGAGTTTCAATTAGATTTGATGATGGTTTTAATAACAGTGACTTTACACTGAGCGAGTGTGTGGGATTGGATTTGTGTCATCTTTTGTGTGTGTGTCTTCATTCTTTAATCTCTGATCCACAGTCACTCTGCCGCTAATGGAAAGCCCACTCTTTAAAGAGCTGCTGTGTCCTGCTTGTGCCCGAGTCCTGCGTCTCCTCTGTCCTCTCTTTCTGGCACACAGCCGCCGATGATGACGCAGGGAGAGCAGAGGGGAGCAGGAGGGAAAGCGCTTGAATCAGGGCAACATCCCCGACTCTGGAATAGAGGAGAATTACACATTAGTATTCACATATTGATAAATGAACTGGAGGCAGGATATTAAAAGAGGAATGATTTTATTTTTGATAAGAAGGCAAAAATGAGCTGCAGACGTGTTGTTTAGCTACTGTGCTGGTTATAATAAATGTTGTCTGAAACTGTCTAGGATGTGTGTTGCTACAGAAAAGCTAAAGCAAGGAAAGGTCAATCACATTACAGCCTCGTGTCGACACTCTGGCACGCTTATGAGACATTAAAAGTGCTTTTTTTGTGTCCTTTTATTTGGAAACTCGGCCACAACAATATGAAGACTTGTCGGAGCTCGACACAAAGTCCTCTGACCTCAGAGGAAAGCGTGTGGGCGGGCTGGACGCATGTACAGAGCAGTGTCTGGCACACGGGGCGTATGGGATGGTGATGTATGCCTGTGGGAATGTTTGGATCCATTCACTGGTGCAAAACGTACAGCCGTTCGGTTAGAACAGAAGTCCATATCAGGGACAGTGACGTTTCCATCGCTTCAGATGTGAGAGAGACGCGATCTGTCAACAGGCGTCAGAGCTGATCTGCATGGATGTAGGTGCGTGAGCCGACGTTGCTTCCTGCTCAGACTCACCACCAACTTTTCAGGATGCTCACAGCACCCAGTTGTCATAGTGACAGAGAGTAGCGAGAGGAGTCGCTCAGTGCGCCACCTGATTGTGAGAGAGAGAGAGAGAGAGAGAGAGAGGGAGGGAGCTTAGAGAGCAGAGACACAGAGTTGCGCAGCAGCGATGGAGAGGCAGGCTTTTTGCTGTGATCAGTGTTTTCATCAATAGACTTCTTCTTTAGCTGCTGTGTCGTGGGGATTGCAGACATTTTTCCGCTCGCACTTTGTCTCAGCTCGGATCCTCTGCTCACTAGCACAGACGCTTCAGTGCTGGAAGGGCAGGATGCTGAAGCGTTGTGACCTGCGTGTCAGGTGTGTATGAGATGGGGGTCCATGTGTGTGGATTCCCATACACACTGTGACAAACACACTCTGCCTTGATGCCTGCTACCTGTGACAGGCTGAGGGACACTCGGCAGGCCTGGCCAGGGGCCCTCCATGCCATGGTAAATACCTCTGAATTGTACCTCTGAATGTACATTCTCATAGAGGAAGCTGGATGCGATACTGTTCAAGTTTTGTTGCGAGGTAAAGCTGCTTGGCACCACCTGTGTGTGAACTTAAGTGACCACCAGTGAGTGTCCCCGATGTCAGCATGTTAACGTTGTTGGCTAGTTTCTGACTCGTAGTTTGCATGTGTGCATGTAAGTGTTTGTTTTTTATTTCAGGATGTTGCCTGATTGCAGACCTTCACTGAGCTGTGTGAGCTCTCATCTCCCCCTGCAGTCGGCCTGTGCATGTGATGGGGAGGTTGTGTGTGCCAGCGTATGTGTGCATTGAATTGATGCCGCTCTCTGGTTCTGCTTCTCCTCCTGCTGGCTGCGTTCCCTCAGGCAGTGACTCTGCGTAAGCAAGTGTTTGTGTGTGCCCTGGAGTGTACCGCTAGCTGGGAGAGCTGCATTATCACACTGTTTTACACAGCAAAGCATCGCAGTAACCTTAAGGTGTAATGAGCAGGAGGGAGACAAAGTCAAACAGAAGGGGGGAGTCAAATCAAGAGATCCGGTGACAAAAAGATTGTGAGAAGAAAGGATGACTAGCTGGCTGATGATTTGTATTGTTGTAGCTGGAATGTGTTTTCATCCTCTTTTCATTACGCTGCAGCAGCTGACAGTTTGCAGAGAAGTGCCGAGTAGTGAAATCTGAATGTGACAGTTCTGTTTATCTCACTTTCCAGGTAATAGGACAGCCTCCTCTCTCAGCCTCTCTCTTTCTGTCACAGCTTTTCTCTTCTTCCCTCTTCGGTTTCTGTCTGTCCTCATCTTTTAGTATATGTTCAATAGTCACTCTGATTCTTACTCCCAGCTGCTCCGGGTTTGCAGGGAAAACGTTGCCTCAGTGTGTTTCCACACAGGTTTTCGAGGTGGTACGAAGTCGATGGTGTCAGATGCAGGATGTGTCTTCTTTGCCTGTTTTTTCTGCATTTGCTCTTAATGATGTAATTAGGCACAAGTTAAGTCTCTTTAATTGATTGCTCCTTTATTGATTACCATTGACCACTGAAAGATTAGAAGGGTATGGAATACAGAGTGATTTACGTAACTTTCCAGATTTACGAGGATTATTAATGTTCCAGCAAAGCAAAAATAATTGTTACTTGAATTTGAAACTAATTAGTAAAGAATTTTATTAATGCATTTAATGATCATAATGAACCAGTGCTTTAACTAATGATTAGTTTTTATTTTCATTGAATGCAACGTTTGTTTTTTTGATTCATAATTAGGTTTATTAAATGTCAATCGTGAAAACCGTTAAATGATGCATATTACAGACTGAAAAAGTGCAAATCAACGTCTTCCTTCGTTCATGCAACAGTCCTAAGCTCACTTTAGTGTCATAGAGGACAAAGAACGGTGGTCATTTTAATAATTAGGAAGATGGAACTCTTAAAAAAAAAAGTCAGAATAATTAATGATAATAAAAGTTGTTGCTTGTAAAATTTCTGTCAATAAACAAAGCTCCAGAATTAACACAATGAGAGGATATTCCTCCTATTATTCTTATTCTTATTAACAACAACAACAATTTGTTTGTCAATAAACTCCCAGCGCAAACTAGCGTAAATGCCGTGGGTTTGAATTTAATTTTTTGTTTGTTGATTGGTCAAAGATGAAAAAAATCTTTCTGTTCCACTTTATTTCTGACTGCAAACATAAGAAAGTCCTGAGAAATTGCTAAACAGACATTGTGACTGCATCACAACACGTGTTGGTGACCTCAGTCCCTGCTGTGGTGTTCGACACACGAATGCTCTCAAATACGGGAATGAGAACGTGATGCCAGTCGATACAGATGCACAGCAGCCAGTGACAGCAGTGGATGATGCTGCTTTGCACTGACTGGTTTCCAGTTGTCCTCGTCTCAGAGCACTCTTACAAATTAACAAGCCTTCAGTGGTTTTGTTGTATACTTACGCTAATGTGTTAATCAAGTTTGCAATCAATAATTCATCACCTGCAGAATGTTCAGCAGTTGAAACAACAGCCAGCCGGAGGCATTCTGTCCCCTTTGATGTCTGTTTTCCATGTTGTTCATTATCTGAGAAGAGCCGAGTAGCAGGTTGAGTCTGCATGTTCAGGCCTGCACAGATTAATATTTGATGCCTTTCACGTCATACCGTGGCAGATGTCCGGGCAGTGTGCACTCGGCACTGGGACATGTCCGTTGTACTTTATGTGAGGTTTACTTCATTATTCAGCCTGTCTAAAAATCCATGTGATGCTTTGTGTCAAAGAGCGTGTTTGGAGAGTTTGTCAGACCGTCTTCATGTGATCATTTTTAGGTAAAAGCAATGCTGTGAAATAATGTTAAGAATTTGTCGACTGAGGAACTGTTGGATTTTTCTTGTCCCTCTCTCTATGCTTGCCCTTCAAAAAAAATCTGGTCTCTCGCTTGGATTTCACAGGAAGAATGCAAGCAGATCATGGCACGCCAGAAATCTAACAGCCAGTCGGACTCACACGATGATGAGGTTTCTCCCCCGCCACCCAACCCTGTTGTCAAGGCCCGCCGCCGCAGAGGAGGGGTCAGCGCCGAGGTCTACACCGAGGAGGATGCTGTCAGCTACGTACGCAAGGTCAGCCGAGGAAGATGCACGCATGCATAAACATCCATTCACAAGTGCACACATCCAACACACACAGTGGCTGGATGCACATTTCTGCTTTATGCAAACTCATCAATATGTTTGCACATAGATGCATCCAGGCAGTGCTTAAAAAACTGTAAGCACATGTTAACTCCAACCTGTTTAGTGCTCACGCTGTACTGTGGGTTGGGATTACAGCACCCTCATGTAGCATCAGAATTATTAAAGTACAGTCTAGTATAATCAATGACATCATAAGTCATTAAGGTTTTGAAATTTATTTGATGGATGCAGTGCAGTTATTCTGTTAACACCCACTAAGAGCATGAATGCAAATGGAACAACGTGACAGTGGGAAGGGACATAAACAGTGTGACAGCAGTTAACGAACAGGTCTGGACACATCATTGAGTTTATTTACAACAAAATAAACAGTTTTTTTGAGTCATTTTCTGCACAAATGTTGAGAATCTGTGATCGATACTGCAGATAATTTACATCTTCATCAGTAAACTTAAATCTGAAAAGTTGGGAAAAATGTGGATCAGTTTCCTCAAATGTCTTGTTTTATCCAAAGATCTTCAGTTTGCTGTCACAGAGGAAAGAAACCAGAAAATATTCACACTGAAGAAGCTGAAATCCCAGAGTTTAGACCGCTTGTAATAGAAATGACTCAAACGGATTAATCGATTGTTGGAATGTTTGACAATTAATTAATTAGTTGACAACTAATCGATCGTTGTCGCTGTCCTCAATGCTGACTAGTTAAACTCACTATAACTGGATTTGGGTCCAGTAGCTGTTGTTTCTGGTCTCTGTTGGTTGAACAGTGGAAACTGAAAGGATCTGGGCATGTGCAGGTGAATTCTTTATCCCACATTTGAGGGTGCTGTCAGTGTGATTATACACACCAGAGTCCGCTTTGAGTGTGTGGAATCTTATTTCTAGAGGTTACTTGGTGTCTGCTTCAGTTCTAGTCCAACTTAAATTATTTTGAAGGATAGATGTAGCTTTGGTCGTCTGGCAGCCGTTTGCTGTCCACATTTTTTTGTCACGCACAAGTACATATGAAAATCTGATTGGAAACCCAGTTGTGTGTATTCGTGCTCAAGAAATTTCTCCAGGAGGTACCTGGATGTTTTTTTTGATGCCCTACCCTAATTATGAAAATGTTTTTTTCCTATAAATGTTCTATTAAAAATCAGGTTATAACAGATAACACTGCAAAACACAAAAACACACAGTCTGAGTAAACTGAGACATTTATTTCTTCTTTAATTTACACTTGGATCCACTGTGGTTGTCAGGTACAGCTAAAATACAATATTTATATTTTGTCTTTGTGGACAACAAGACTGTTAAAGCTATCAGTCCTCTCATAAACTGCCATGTGTCCATTCCATCATTTATTGACGTTAAAGAGAAAGGGATCCTCTCATGACAGGAACTATAACTCACCTTTGCACACACACACACACACACACACACACACACACACACACACACGTGCACACACACCTATGCCAGTAGGTGTATCATTACTGAGCTTGTTCAATTGTAATTAACTTGACACGCCATTAATTGCTGGGTAATGACATAACGGCATGAACCCCCGTCACCACGCTGTAATTGCATGGCCACTGGAGCGTGCTGTGTGTGTGTGTGTGTGTGTGTGTGTGCACATGCATTTGCGTTTATTGCTCTGAGGTCTCTACCAGACACTGCAGTTATGTGCCGTTGGAAAAAGGCCTGTCACCATCTCCGGCCTAATTTTCTTCACCGTCCCTCACTATCTTGTGGACCGACTCCCCGACAGACACGCACACAGAACGACTCGCGGCCACGTCAGCAGCATTTGAAAAAGAAATTGCTTCATGTGTTACCTCACACAGCAGAGACCCATCAGTCTGTTCAGAGAAAAGTCAATGAAAAAATTCAATTACATGAAAGCATGAACATAAAAGCACGTAATTGCTTCAGTATGTGAAAGGATTACTTCTCACCAGCTATGTACAACACACACACACACACACACACACACACACACACACAAATGTGCTGACATCTTCCTACACGATCACTTCCATTAGCGACTCCACTGTGATTTGACAGAACACAATCAATCTGCTAAACCTGCTCATCTGATTAAAATGTCTTTGCTGCAAAGTGCTGTGAGTGTTCACACGTTGTGAGGCCTGTCAGTCAGAACAAGCTGCTTATGTGACAGCTAACATTGCATTAAATGCCCTTCAGTTTGATTTTAAAAAAATATGTAGGCAAAAAAAAGTAGTATTCATGTAATTTATCAGCTGAATGTGAATGTCACCTCCTCATGACTGCTTGTGGGTGCAGCTGTAAAATCACTACTTTTTCTTACACTCAGCAAGGGCCAACTATCGTAACATTACGCTGGCCAGTAAAAAATGAGTCGGTCTGAATTATAACTCGTGCAACAGCTTTTTGCAAGCTGGTAACAAGCTCAGTGCCCTGACATTTAATCATTTCCTTGGTGATGGAGCTGGAGCTCGTAGAAGATGAGTATAAAACCTGTGTCCTCCTCCATCTCCATTTCCTATTTTTCTTTCTGCCCACTAAGTAGCCAGGCCTTAGTTCTACAGACAGATAAAATTTTGGTACTTTTACATTTTACATGTGATGTGGTTGTGTGTGTCAGTGTGCATGTTGTGCACAGCTCAGTGTGGTTGTCTTCATGTGGAGACATCTGTTGCTTTAACTTAATTACAGCCTACCCCCTCCTCTCTCCCACGACCAGAGACAAAACACGAGCACACACATACACGCTCCAGTCATTCTGCAGTGACACGGGTTTGTGCAGCCTTCCTCTCTTTCACTCTTTCTCATACTTTTTTCTTTCTTACCATGCAGTGAAAAAAGGTCTTCTCTAGGATGCCTCCATATAAACACACACTTCTGCGTTCTGCTGCTTTGTTGTGGCTTCAGACTTCGCCGTTGCCTTTCCATGAACACACACCACAGGGCCTGGGACATGAAAATGCATGTTTTATGAATGAGTTCAGAGCTCTTGTGAATTTTTAAGGTCTGTTTGACATTTTAAGTGTAATCCCTGAACAGATGGGCTTTCCCAAAAATACACAGACACACGTGTGGGATATTTCTTTCAGAGTTTGCCAATACGCTGCTCTTTAATTACTCAATTTAGTCTTCTTTTGAAGTCGGTCCGATGATGTGTTTGTGCTGGTTTGTTTTATGTGTCCACCTGCACAGTGCTGCTGCAGTCCACTGCACTGTAATGGCTGTTACGTCTCTGTCTACACAGGTGATTCCAAAAGACTACAAGACCATGACTGCCTTGGCCAAGGCCATCTCCAAGAATGTGCTATTTGCTCACCTGGATGACAACGAGAGAAGGTACAAAACCTTTGTGACGTCGTTAATAGGTTTGCACAACGTCCACTGTGATGCCAGCAACCAAAATGTGTGTTTGGACTGTGAGTGCATGTTTGGAAGCTGATAAAATCATGAACAGGCCGTTGTTCCAGCCGAGTGTATTGCCCTTGTGGCCACTGTGTGCCAGTGTTGTCCTCGTCTCTAGTCTGAACATGGACAGATGTGGCAGAGCAGGAGGGGTGCAGCGATGGGTGGCTAAGGGGCAACTGGATGTGTCTGGGTATGTTGTATTGCACTGTGTTGTTGGTTGCTATGGTAACTTATGTGTATGTCAGTATCATATTGCGTATTCGGACATGGGCGGCGGTGCACAGACACACAGCTTGGAAATCAACAATTCTCCATAGTTGTGTCTGAAAAAGAGAAAGATGCCAATTCCCCTCTTTCCCTCCCTTTTTCTTGCCATCTGCTCTCATTCATTGTTCCTTCACATTCTTCCTCTGTTCAGCCGTGCTCTCGCCATCCTTCCGTCTGTCCCAGATCTCAGCGATGGCCGGGTCTGGCTCTGACAGAGGATGGGGTGTTGTGGGAAAGACTCTCAGGTGGCTGGTGGTCCCGCCCGCCAGCCGGAATAGTGTTTCATTGGCGGGGAGAATCCATTATGCCCCATGGAGAGGAAAACACCGGAGCTTTCCTGTTGGCTAAAGCCTCCACAAACCAAACCCAAAACACACTTTTTCCACTCTTTCGTCAGTTGACAATTTACCGTGGTCCCTTGGCACAGGCACGCAGGCCTCTGATTGCACGTCACTGCCTCTGAAGTAGCCTGGAGCCGGGTGCAACATGTGATAGGTCCGGACAGTTTGAAAAACCATGTTCTTGGGTGGCTAATGTGGCAGATTTGAGTTACAACAGAAAAATATCTGGCAGGAGACCATAAACCATCAGGTCTTAATAAAGTCAAGGCCTCTTGGAATGCCAGGCTGTGTAATGCCGTTGTCATCAGTCCGTGAAAGCATGCATGATGTAGAATTTGTTCGACTGGCTGACATGTTTGTTGTCTCACTACACACAGTTAGCATCAACCATTAATGCTGTGCACACAGGATTTCATTGTTGTGGGATTTGTGGGTGAACGTGCAGCTAGCAGTGCAGAAGCGAGTGAAAACCTTCTCGGATTTGCTGGATCATACAGGGACACAGCAGTTAGCTGGCTCTGCCTTCCTCTGACTCTCCATTCCTCTCCCCGATGCTCGTACAGCGTCCCTCCCTCTCCTCTGTTCTTCCTCACTCTTCACTTACAGCTGAGGATGCTGGACGGCTGGTTGGCTGGCTGGTGGCTCGGTCGCATTGCGGTCGTGTTGCGGTTGTTGTGCCTGGAGCCCCCACAGACAGAAATGTGTGGACATGTGCCCAATGTGGTCTTCCAGCATTAATGAAAAAGTGCACAAAGCAACCAGAAGGCCTCTGCACATGGTTCGGTTGCTTTAGATTCCACTACATGTTCCCACTGGTGAGACTTGGCATAAAGTTTTGCCTGAGAAGCTGCATCTGTGATTTTTGCTCATCCTAGCTGTTGGACATGATCTACAGCGTGATGGGATTCCCCCTATACTACAGAAAACCAAACTCTGCTTTAGAGTAAAGAATAATTTTTGCTTGTTGATGCCTTCTGTCATTGATGAAGCCGCGGTATGAAGTACATCAGCTTTCCTCTCGCTCTTTCTTTCTTGCATCTGGCCCTTTATGTTATCAGACGTTCTTGCACCTATGGTCTCGTTGGGTAAGGAGGTAGTGAAAGTTGACAGTGGCTCTGGATACAGGCCGTTATTTGACATGACAGTACACCAACAAACTATGTTTGATCGTCGTGGGGGACGGAGTTAATGTTGTCATGCATGTTTTGTTCAACCATTTCCTTGTTTGAGGTGTGTGTGAGAAACACCACGGGGCTGATGTTTCTGTGTGTGTGTCAAGGAAACATCTTGCGTTATTAGTCACTCAGCAGTTATGTAAGCTGAACGCCACACGATTTGTTCAGCCATTAGCACCATATTATGCTATCATCCCTTTCAGTAATGATAGAAAACAATGAGGCCTTCTTTGTTTCCTGCTCTCTGTCCACTGCTCTCTTTTTCCTCTCATCGCTTTTTTGTGTTTTTTTTTTTTCTTTCCTTGTCTTATCCTCTGTCACTCTGTCTCTTATTGATAATCTGTCTCATCTTCCTGACTTACTTATCTAACTTTCTAGGAATCCAGGGAGTCCATACTGGCACAATAAGCAGTGCACTTTTCTTAAGCTCAGTAGCAGACACTAGTTGACAGAGCTGCTTTTTCTTTTTCTTTTTCCTTTTATAATTCTCTCGTTTCCTTTTAAAAGGATTATGGCTCTGCAGCACTCACATTTTGTGCCGTATTCTTGCATGACTTTTGCAAGTACAGCACAATCCAATCCCACATTTTAATCAGTAACAATCCAAATGTGTAGTTTTGCATGTACCGTATGTGCAAATTTTAATGTGTATATTATCTGTGTACAGTTACTATCCGTGTATTATACTCGTCCTTGACTTTCTCTAAGACGATACATATAAATACATGGTGTAGAAGTGTGTGTGTGTGTGTGTGTGTGTGAGTTTACTTTTTAACTTGCACACATTTCACACTGCTGACTGAGAGTGATTTAGATGTAGATTAGATCAGAGTCCAATAATCCCAGTGTTTAAGCCTCTCTGCCAACACCTGTATTTCAACATTATACAGTGCATGTCATTCCAGGATGTTTTTCAGCGCTGAAACTGGCCCATTAGTTTTCTGTTGGGGCTGAGATGACTGTGTGCATAATTACAGGAATGAGCCAGACAGAAGAAAAATGATCCAAGAGGGCATCTTAGGACAAGCAGAATATTATTTAAACCAAAACAAAACCAGCCAGTGGTCTGTGCTTCATATCCTGTTTTGTTAAATATTTGCTTCCTCAGCATTCACTGCAAGCAGTGTAAAGATGTCAAGGGTTTTGTGTGTTTCTGGCCCATTTAGAGAGAAAGACGAGAGCAAGTGAACATCCAGATTGCATCTTTTTACTCTGCTGCAGCGTGGCGATACCTGAGCACTGGCTCGTTTTGACGCTCCCGTTCTTTACTCTCCATTGGCCGTCTTAAAACTCTCAACTATGCCTGAAGTAAGAAGGTCATCAAGCAGTAACAATACATGAGATTAAAAATGTACCTAAAATCTTTCTTATAAAGTCCATGAACTGTAGTTTTGATCAAGACTGAGGAGAGGACGGTAAGCTGATCACACACACACATGCAGGCACACAAACACCACCGTCACTACAAAGGATGACAGGGATCGCAGTATCATGAGAAACACACACACACACACACACGCATGCATGCACAAACAGACACGAGTAAATTCTCAAGTATGCATGTCAGAATGTTTTCCCAGTGTGTCTGCTCCAGCTGGGAGCGTGGAGTCTTTGATTAACACACCATTCCATATGTCAAACTTTATGGCCTCAAAGTTTTTGAGCTGCACCAGCCGTGTGTGTGTGTGCACGTGCGTGTGTGTGTGTGTATGTGCGTGTGTGTGTGTGTAGTCCATCTTTCCTCAGCTGTCTGGAATTGAAATCTTAACACATTCTCAAACACTTTTGTTTTTTGCTTATTAAAAGGAGATTGAAGTAGAGATAAACGTGTATTCTCTTCTTGTGTTTACAGAATTCAAAACATGTATTATTTAGATATAAAATATATAAACTGTGCATTAATTTTGTCACATTATTTTGCTCTTTGGTGCGCCCCACATTTTGCTTTAATGACAGCATGCACTCAGGCTGCACCCACACATTTATACAAACCTGATTGTGAAATATCAAAGAGCCGTTCTCTACAGATGTGCAGATCAGAAGGTGGAGCTGAAGACTTCAGGGCAGATGTCCAGCTCCAGAATGTGCAAAACACCCCCAGACCTGAATGATCCCACCACCATGTTTCACTGTGGGTTTGATACACTACAGTGTCACCTCTCCGTCCTGTGGGCCTCCTGCTGCTTTAAATCTCTGCCTTTGATTCATCAGTAAATAAGACTTCTTCTAGTCATCCACTGGGCTGGTTTGTCTTCACCCACCGCAACTCTTTGGTCTTGTTTCCTCTCCTGATGAGTTTTGCTCTCCTGTTCTACTTGTTGCATTTACTGAAGCCTCTGAGGAGTAGATAGATCTACTCATGCACTTTAATAGAAGGGATACAATTCAAGGAATCTAAACTTTAGGAGGAGTTAACGTGGTCAGTACCACTAATTTGCTTAAATTTGAAGTTAGAAGTAGTGCAAAGTCCCTCATATTTCTTCTTCATTGTACATGCCTCATTTGTTTGTGTTTTTAATGTCTCTAAATGCTGAGACTTTATGATTATTTCCAGCTTAACATAAAAAACAGCAGATTTTTTTGTGATGTGGTCTCAGACTTCTTTGATTTTTCTCTACATTTAATACTCGTACAGTGGACCAAATGTAGACAAAGTGTAAAGTTAGGAATATTCAAATTTGCAGAAAAACAACAGAGAATGAGTTAGAAATAAAACCTGTAAGGGAGTGAACATACACTAAAACCTCAGACGACAGTGTGTTTTATCTGTTCGTCTCTGTGACCTTGGCTGGTCTCTGTTGTACCGTCTGAACCTCTGTGGCGGTGCCGCGGGTCACAGGGTGGCCCCTTCTATTTGCTGCCCATTAGCTGCCATAATGACCTCGTTATGATATAACCGTGCAAACAGACACAAGATAAGCAAGGAACAGGTGTTTGGTTTCACATTGTGTCGAGCCTGCTTTGCTAACAAACACCCAAATCCGTCTGCAGCCACCTGTCTCGATATCGTAACTGTACAGCAGTTATCATACTAACTGCTATCTCATGTTACCATCTGGATGTCCCATTATTGAGCTTTTTTAGATTTTCAGATTAAAAGTTTAAACAGGAAATCGAAAAGAGAATCAGATCAGGCTCTTTTGCATCC